AAAAAAAAAAAAAAAAGGAAGAAGAAGAAGAAAAAGAAAGGCTCTGAATGTCTGAATGGCTGGCATATTTGTTTGTTTTTTCCATTTTAAGGGGAAAACTAGATATCTGGCACTGAGATATCTTTAAATCTTTATTTCAAGAGAAGGGGAGAAATAAGCAGTATCAATAGGTAGATCTTTCAAATATGTGGCATATGTTCTACAAGTGCAATGGAGGGTGATTTTAATTAATGCATGAACGATCTTTTTTTGTTTGTTTTGAAACACGGTCTCTGTTGCCCAGGCTTCACTGAAGTGCTGTGATCATAGTTCACTGCAGCCTTGACCTCCTGGGCTTAAGTGATCCTCCCACTTCAGCTTCCGAGTAGCTGGGTCCACAGGCTCACCCCACCATTCCTAGCTAGTTAAAAAAAATTATTTTTTTAGAGATGGGGCTGCGTCATGTTGCCCAGGCTGACCTCAAATTCCTGGCTTCAAGGGATCCTCCTGCCTTGGCCTCCCAAAGTACTGGGATTACAAGCATGCACCACTGTGTCTGGCCCATATTTTTAGTTTAATAGTTATCAGTTAAAACATGTGAAGTCTTAGAAAAGTGTTTGGCATATAGTAAGAAAAAAAAATGACTGAAGTTTGAGAAACTTGTGGTTTTGTTTTCTCATTACTCTCAGGAAAAGTTCAAAGTCCTTCCCATGGATCACGGGCGCTGCAGGATTCAGAGGATGGGCTTTGGAACTGGCCAGATCTGGTTTTCATGAGCTCTGGGACCTTGAATAAGTTGCCCTTGTGTCCTAGTCAGGAATTGCTCATTGCAAAGAAGAGAAGTGCAGCGAAACTGGCTCAAGTTAAAAGGGGATTATTTGGGCCAGCTGCAGTGGCTCACGTCTGTAATCCCAGCACTTTGGGAGGCTGAGAAAGGTGGATCACCTGAGGTCAGGAGGTCTAGACTAGCCTGGCCAACATGGTGAAACCCCATCTCTATTAAAAAAATACAAAAAATAAATTAGCCAGACATGGCGGCACACAACTGTAACCCCAGCTGCTCGGGAGGCTGAGGCAGGAGAATCTCTTGAACCTGGGAGCTGGAGGTTGTAGTGAGCCGAGATGGTGCCACTACACTCCAATCTGGGGGACAGAGTGAGACTCTGTCTTAAAACAAAACAGGTGGTAAACGGTGGTGGGGATTATTGTAGGGCTATAAGGAGATCTGTGAAAACCAAGGGCAGAAAGCAGAAAGTAGATCTGTGGTGTATGTTTGTGTAGTCTGCGCTCAGGACAGAGAAGCCAGCCTGAGGTGGGGCTGAAACCCAGGCTGTCCTCCACCCTGAGGAGGGAAGGGAGTCTTTATGTCATTCTCTCTGAGGCTGCAGGGCAGGCCCTACCAGAAACGCAGAGTGTGTGTATCTATACACACACACATTAGATGTATGTATTTTTAGAGACAGGGTCTTGCTCTGTCACTCGCACTGGAGTACAGTGGAATATTTGTAGCTCATCTTAACCTTGACCAACTCCTGGGCTCCAGGGGTCCTCCTACTTTAGCCTCCTGAGTAGCTAGGACTAGAGGCACGCACCCCCACACCTGGCTAGATGATGATGATGATTATTATTATTTTTGAGATGCAGTCTTGATCTGTCATCCAGGCTGAAGTGCAGTGGCATGATCTCGGCTCACTACAACCTCTGCCTCTTGGGTTCAAGCAATTCTACTGCCTCAGCCTCCCGAGTAGCTGGGATTACAAATGCCTGGCACCGCATCCAGGTGATTTTTGTATTTTTGGTAGAGATGGGGGTTTCACCACGTTCGCCAGGCTGGTCTTGAACTCTTGACCTCAGGTGATCCACCTGCCCTGGCCTCCCAAAGTGCTGGGATTATAGGCGTGAGCCACCGCACCCTGCCTAGCTGGCTAGATTTTTATTTTTTTTGTAGAGATGAGGTCTCGCTGTGTTGCCCAGGCTGGTCTTGAGCTCCTGGCCTCAAATAACTCTCCTGTCTAAGCCTCCCAAAGCATTGGGATTACAGGTGTGAGTCACCATATCCATTAATATGAATATATAAATATATATTTAAATTTGTACGTAATCTCTTTCTTATTAGAAGGTGAAATCTATGAGAGCAGGGACTTTGTTGTGTTTTGGTTTTGTTTTTTAAGATGGCATTTCACTCTGTTGCCCAGGCTGGAGTGCAGTGGCATCTATCTTGGCTTACTGCAGCCTTGACCTCCTGGACTCAAGCCGTCCTCCCACCTCAGCCTCCTAAATAACTGAGACTAGAGGTGCGCACCACCACGCCTGGTCCCGGACTTTTGCTTGCTGCCCAAGTATGTAAGATGCCCTTCATAGATATGTGTTGAATAAATGAAAAAAGAAAGACCTCTTGAGGTTATTACTGTGTAGGCTCATTGGTGAAAAATGCTTGTCAGATTTTTTTCTAACAAACACAACTATATCTGATTTCTCATTTCCAGACAGCACAGTTTAACTGGGATCCAGAAACAGTGGGCCTTATCCATGGATCTTTTTTCTGGGGTTATATTATGACACAAATTCCAGGTGGTTTCATTTCAAACAAGTTTGCTGCTAACAGGTAAGAAAAATTGATATGATATAAACGAATAAAATATGGCTTTGTACCTTTATAAACTCTGCATAGCTGTCTCTCAATTTAGGGATGCAAAATGAAAAACAGGAGCCATCTGGATAGATGCAGTTCACAAATATTGATCCCAAATGATCCTGCTCTAAATTTATTTTTATTTTTTGAGATGGTGTCTCACTCTGTCACCCAGGCTGCAGTGCAGTGGTGTGACCTTGGGTCACTGCAGCCACCGCCTCACTCCTCCCCCACCCTACTCCATATTCAAGTGATTCTCATACCTCAGCCTCCTGAACAGTTGGGATTACAGGCACGCACCACTACACCCAGCTACTTTTTGTATTTTTAGTAGAGACGGAGTTTCACCATGTTGGCTAGGCTGGTCTCAAACTCCCACCCTCAAATGATCCACTAATGCCCTTGAGACTCTGTAGTGGGTGTTTGAGCAATTAAAAGTGTCTAAGAACAGAGTGAGCTGTCTCAAGATGCAGTGAGTTCTCTGTCACCAGAGGTATTCAAGCAGAGGAGGACGGCCACTTGGGGGAGATGTTGTAGAGTGTATCATGTGCTAGAAAGGAGTGAACTAATTGTATTTCCTATATGACTTTCCATAAATGGATTTCATGAAGTGCATTCCATTTTAGAAAACGGTGTTTTTTAAATTCTAAAGCACAACTCATTACATAGTTGTGAAAAAAATATGATTCACCAATGATCATTTTTAAAAAAGAGAAAGACAGAAGAAAAGATAATCAAATAGAATAAAGTAGAATAGAAAATATCTGAGTGCATTGCACATAAGGGTAAATACTAGTTCTTGAGACTTGTTTTAGTTATATTTGTATGTATGAGTATGGACTGCGTTGAGATATAAAATATATTTTGTTTATGGGTTAAGGTAAAAAAAATTGGAAGCCACAATCATAAGATCTAAATATGTATAAGCATGTATTTGTTTAGATTCTTGTCTAATTTATGTCTTTCATTTATTGTTAGTTACCTATTGTATTGTTTTTAAAAAGTGGTAAAATATTGCTTGCTATGGTTTCCTTGGTTACTGCTTACACCTGTGCCCTGAAAAATAATCACACATAATTTAATTTCCCAGCATGTAAAAAGAGTAGAAACATCATTAATATGGGTAAGAGGGGAAGAAAATGCTGCCTGATCTTTTTTCACAGGGCACCCTGGGCTGGGCAGGGAATGGGAGCTAAGACAGGTACACAATCTGTCTTGTGGTTGGCTGGTCCCAGGACATGAGATCCTTCTTGGATAGTCAGGGTGTCCTTCTGGTAAACTGAGAATAGCTCTGGGAAATAGGAAACACAACCTCAAGCAGCAGGAGTCATGCAGTAACAGTAAGAAAAGGTCAGGTGGGGGAAACCAGGTAGACGGTAGGTCTCTAGCAAGCTTACCTACACCTGGCCAATCTCCAACTTTTCAGGACATCATCCAGGCAGGACATCCCTGTGCTACCAAAAATTTGTTGATAATTGGTCCAGGGGCCAGAGCTTGGGAATCAAAGAAGCCCAAGAGTCTAGCTTGGAGCACACTAGACCCTAACACATCAATTTATCCAAATTAATTTCTATTAATTTCCACAGGGGTCTCTCATGAACTGTTAGATTTGTTTCTGGTGCTTAGCTGAAGTACCACATCCAGCAGCGGCCTGCCTAGTAACACAGTGCTTTGATCCTTCAGGGTCTTTGGAGCTGCCATTTTCTTAACATCAACTCTGAATATGTTCATTCCTTCTGCGGCCAGAGTGCATTATGGATTCGTCATGTGTGTCAGAATTCTGCAAGGTCTAGTGGAGGTAGGAGGTACTTTCCTTACAGTTTTTGATGTTGCTAGAGACAACATGGTCCTTTAGAAAATTCAGCTTCTGGAAAAAAAAAAAAAACCCTTGCTCAGTGTATTTTTTTTTTTCTATATCTTCTTCCTTTTCCTGCTGTTTCCACTCTTTGGTTATATCTAAAATTTCAAATATTTCAATTAAAATGCCTTGTGTGATTTTACATTTATGAACAATAAAGGACCCTTCCATAATGATCTTAGAGATAACCTAACCCAACCCTCTTCATTTTAATAGAGAGTGAAACTGAAGCCCAGACCTACAGTTCACATAGCAAAAGGTCATTCCATTAAAGCAATTTAAGTGGATTCATTAATAAATCTGTACATTTTCAAGGGAGTAGTCCGATGCAGAGATTTAACTCACTGAAGGAAGCAGCATGATATGGAGCCAGAAAGTAAATATTTTGGACTTTGCAGGCCATACAGTATCTGTTGCAGCTACTCAACACCGCTGTTGTAGTGCAAAGGCAGCCAGAGACAATATGGAAACAAATGGGCATGGTTATGTTCCAATTAAACATTTCGCAAACTGAAATTTGAATTTTATATGATTTTTGTGTGCCATTAAATATTATTATTCTTTGGATTTTTTTCTTACCATTAGAAATGTAAAAAACATTCGTAGCTTGTGGGCTATACAAAAACAGACGGTGAACCCATTGGGCCATCATTTGCCAGCCCCCCATGTGCCCCAGTGCTTAGCAGACACAGTCACTCACCTCTGACCTTCGTCAGTTTGTTACGCCTGTGTACAACTTATGCTATTATTTGCCTATTGTTTTCCCCTAGATTGACTCATTTAAAGCAAAAAATAAAAAATACCTATTATTCTAAGCAACAACATCTTTGAAGACATGGGTTTGATGTTCTAGTTACATCTTTTTCAAAGCATCCGTGTGTGTGTGTGTGTGTGTGTGTGTGTGTGTGTATATATATATATATATATATAATGTATAGTTATATGTAAATTAAATTATATATAGATTAATTATAACATATATACTAGCATATATATGTTTATATGTTATATTAATACATGTATATACATGTACACAGGGTTAAGGTTAGGGAATTAATATATGTATATTAATTGGGAAATGATATATGTGTATATTAATATATACATATATTAGTTAATATATGTATACACTAGTATATATATATTATAATTAAGAATGTAGGCTGTTATATCACATCAAATCCAACTCTAGTCCCACTAGAGAGATGTAAACCGCACTTTGGGATGTACCGTGTGGTGGAAAGAACGTGTTATTAGCATCCGTGAAGACTAAATTTTAGTCACTTAATGGCTCTGAGTCTCAAATTCTGTATCTTGAAGTGAGAGGATGGATCAGCTGATTGTTGAAGGCTCTTCCTTCACTGATAGTCTATGATAATATGAAATATAACTATAAAGACCTTTTCTCACATCCCCTACCATGCTTACATGTGAACCGTATTTGAATTTCAGCATCTATACTATGAGTCGAAATAGCTGAATCATGCCATTTAGTATCTGTCTTAGTCCATTTGAGCTTCTATAACAGAATGCCATAAACTGGGTAACTTATAACTGATAGATTTTTTTTTTTTTTTGAGACAGAGTCTCACTTTGTCACCCAGGCTGGAGGGCAGAGGAGCGATCTCAGCTCACTTCAACCTCTGCCTCCTGGGTTCAAGCGGTTTTTATGCTTCAGCCTCCTGTGTAGCTGGGATTGCCAGTGCATGCTACCATATCTGGCTAATTTTTGTGTTTTTGGTAGAGACAGGGTTTCACCATGTTGACCAGGTTTGTCTCAAACTCCTGACCTCAGGTTATCTGCCTGCCTCGGCCTCCCAAAGTGCTGGGATTACAAGCATGAGCCACCAGGCCCAGCCTTTTTTTTTTTTTTTTTTTTTTTTTTGAGACAGAGTCTCACTCTGTTGCCTAGGCTGAAGTGCAGTGGTGCAATCTCAGCTCACTGCAACCTCTACCTCCCGGGTTCAAGCGATTCTTGTGCCTCAGCCTCCCAAGTAGCTGGGATTACAGGCATCTGCCACCATGCCCAGCGAGGTTTTGTATTTTTAGTAGAGATGGGGTTTCATCATGTTGGCTAGGCTGATCTTGAACTCCTGACCTCAAGTGATCTGCCCACCCTGGTCACTCAAAGTGCCGGGATTATAGGCATAAGCCACTGCACCTGGCCTAGAAATGTATTTCTTACAGTTCTGGAGGCTGGGCAGTTGAAGATCAAGGAGCTGGCAGATGGATGACTTGGGAGGGCCAGTTTCCTGGTTCATAAACAGCTACCTTCTCTTTGTGTGCTCATGGCAGAAGGGATGAGGGAGCTCCCTGGAGTCTCTTTCATAAGGTGCTAATTCCATTCATGAGGGCTACACCCTTACAACCTAGTCACTTCCCAAAGGTCCATCTCCAAATACCATCACATTGGGAATTAGGTTTTAACATAGGCATTTGGTGGGGACACAAACATTCAACCTACAACAGTGTCTATGAATTGGGCTTTCATATTGTACCTATGTGAAGAAGCAGCATCCATGTTTTAAACACAAGCAGAAACTGGAGTCAAATCAACTAATTTATTTGCAATTCTTCTGTCAGGGTGTGACCTACCCAGCCTGCCATGGGATGTGGAGTAAGTGGGCACCACCTTTGGAGAGAAGTCGATTGGCCACAACCTCTTTTTGTGGTAGGTATATTAGAACCATAACAAATTTTATTTATGAATGATTTTTTGGGCTCATGTGGTGGCTCATGCCTATAATCTCAGCACTTTAGGGAGGCCGAGGCAGGAGGATCACTGGAGCCCAGGAGTTCGAGACCAGCCTGGGCAATGTAGTGAGATTTTCTTAAAAAAAAAAAAAAAAATTAGCCGAGCGTGGTGATATGTGCCTGTGATCCTAGCTACTAGGGAGGCTGAGGCAGGAGGACTGCTTGAGCCCAGGAGGTTGAGGTTGCAGTGAGCTGTGATGGCCGCAGCACTCCAGCCTGAGTGACAAAGTGAGACCTTGTTTCTAAAAACAATAAATAAAAAAGAAATGGAATGCTTTTTTGGCTTCAAGTAACTGAAAACCCTACTAAGGGCCTTAAAATGAGTCTATTTATTTTATATAACAGAATTCTAAAGGTGAGTGATTGCTGGTGTTGGTTCTGCTGCTCAAAAATCCATCCAGGGCCTAGGCATGTTCTGACTTTCTACTCTGCTTGCTGTACTTTGGGACAGCTTTTTATTTACGTCTGTGCTTATTCCATCTGTTCCTTTCCTCAGGAAAACTAAAGCTTTCCCAAAGCCCCCTACCAACCTTCAACTTTAATTCCTTTGATCCTAACTATATCTTAAGCTTTACTAACTGCAGAGGAGGCTAGGCAAACAGATACCTAGCTTTGCCACCCTCTTCAGGAGTGAAGGGGAAAGGAGAAAGGGTTGTAAGTGGTTGTTGGATTAGCCAACAAATGACATTTGCTAAGGACAAAAGTGGAAGAGATGGGATCATCAAGCATCCCACACCTCTCCTCATATGAAACTAAAGTTCAGTGACTTGCCCAAGATTGTGGAGCTAGAACAAGACCTGACTTTTGATTTGGAATTTTCCTTACTTCACACTCCTGCCACGTACATGGGGTCTCACTCTGTCACCCAGGCTGGAGGACAATGGTGTGATTGTCATACAGACACTTAGTTAATTTTTGCCATTATATCCTGGATAATAAGAAGTAGAGACCATCCATCTTATCTGAAAGTAAATGAGCAGCCCCCAAGTAGTATGTGACTTTAATTCCTGGGCCTCCAAATTTCACCTTGCTGAGGTTGCCCCTCTCCAAGCTACTCCTGTGGGACTGGCCTCTCCAGGTGTCGTGGGGTCTCTAGGTATCAATCAACAACAGAAAAACAACAGCACATGCTGCTGCCATCAACACAGCTGTAAATGTGTTGGGAGAAGTGTTCATGAAGGTAAAAGTATCTTAGACCAAACAGGCATGTTGGGTGGCTTGTACCTGTAATCCCAGCACTTTGGGAGACTAAAGTGGTGGATTGCTTGAGCCTGGGAGTTTGAGAGCAACCTGGGCATTATGGTGAAACCCCATCTCTACAACAAAAATAGAAAAAATTAGCTGGATGTGGTGGCTCTTGACTGTGGTCCCAGCTACTCATGAGGCTGAGGTGGGAGGATCGCTTGAGCCTGGGAGGCAGAAGTTGCAGTGAGCCGAGATCACACCATCGTACCCCAGCCTGGGTGACAGAGTGAGACCCCATCTCAAAAAAAAAAAATGTACCTTAGGCCACAAAAGTCACAATGTGGCCTAGGTAGTATGAAGTACAGCTTAGGTCTGTCTGGTTTTCAAGCTAGCACACCTTTTCTAAGACAAGCTAACATACTTATTTGCTAAGGGGAGAAATACAGCTTTCTATTTATTTCTGCAAGTGTCTTAATTTACCTCTTCCTGCTGGCCTTTTACATCCCTGAAATAATAAAAAAGTAATCCTGAGAATGTGGTGTGAGGTATTCACTGATATGCCTACCTTATGCCTAGTTGGGAATTTCGTACACAGCCAAGATGTCTTTACATCACCGTGTCTTGTCCTTAGAAACCACCTTCGTCCTCTCATTTGCAGTTTAAGAGCATCTCCATCCCCACTAATTGGGCTTACATCAACTCTAGAAGAGGGTAAGATTCCACCCGAGCTGGCCTTGTGGCTTGTTAGATCCTTGACCTTACTTTCTTCGGATGGTTTATTTGTAAGACATTTCTTTTTGATTTGTCAGTAAAACAAGAATGACTAGCAGCCACTCCCCATTCTTAGTGTGTTTTTATAGCCCTAAAAGGGCTGATTTAAGAAATGGTTTGACTCTCAAGGAAAGTTACCTGATCAAGGACACAGGCCTCATTACATGTCCCAGTTAAGGTGTGGCCTTGGTTTCAAAGAACAGCCAAGGGAAAATGTTAAAGAAGGAAACCTAGGCTTGGAGCCAGTCAATTCTTAATCTCAAAAGATAAGGGAGTCTAGAAAACATCCAGTGATATGGTTTAGCTCTGTGTCCCCACCCAAATCTTGTCTTGTAGTTCCCATAATTCCCATGCATTATGGGAGGGACCTGGTGTGATATTACTGAACCATGGTGGTGGGTCTTTCCCATGCTGTTCTCATGATAGTGAATGGGTCTCACGGTCTGATGGTTTTTAAAATGGGAGTTTCTCTACACAAGCTCTCTCTTTGCCTGCCACCATCCATGTAAGATGTGACTCGCTCTTCTTTGTTTTCCACCATGATTGCGAGGCCTCCCCCACCATGTGGAACTGTGAGTCCAATTAAATCTCTTTCTTTTGTAAATTGCCCACTCTTGGGTTTGTCATTATCAGCAGCATGAAAACAGACTGATATAACCAGTTATAACCCACTGTTTTATAGTTGAGGAAACTGAGGCTCAGGGACGCAAAAAAGATTTAAATTATTGCAGCTAGTGAGGGCAGAACCATGGCCTCTTTCTCACCCCCAGCTCTGCTCTTTTCTTCTCTCATTACCATTCAACAATCATCTGAGCCCCATGGGACTGAGCTGCAGTCTGCTGCCCAGGGCAGTCTGGGAGCAGCGGGGACAGCTGCAGTAAGGGCTGAATACCCTGTTGTCTGCTCGAGGGGCTGTGTCTAATAGGAACTGACATTGGAGAATGTCTAAAAGGATGAGAAAGATTTTTTTTTCTGATAGAGAAGAGGGGTAGTTTAGGTCACATTGTGTATTAGTCTGTTTTCACACAGCTATAAAGAACTGCCTGAGACTGCGTAATTTATAAAAGAAAGAGGTTTAATTGACTCACAGTTCTGCATGGCTGGGGAGGCCTCAGGAAACTGACAATCATGGCAGGAGGCGAAAAGGGAGGCAAGGCACGTCTTACATGGTGGCAGGCGAGAGAGAGAGCGTGTGGGAGGAAGTGCCACACTTTTAAACCATCAGATTTCATGAGATCTCACTCATTATCATGAGAACAGCAGGGCTGAAATCCACCCCCATGATCCCATCACCTTCCATTAGGTCCTTCCCTCAACACATGGAGATTACAATTTGAGATGAGATATGGCGGGGGACACAGAGCCAAGCCATATCACATTGTAAAGTTTCCCCAATGAGAGAATGCTTCTTACTATGTAAGGGGAATTATCAGGTGCTTTTGAGTGAAGGAGCATGACTGAATGATTAAGCAAGAGTGAGGGCTTTGGAGTTAGCAGTTTGTCACTTCTACCCATGTGACCTCAGGCAGTCCATCTCCTCTCCCCCAGCCTGGCTTTCTCATTATAAAATGAGGGTCATGTTGGTACCTACCTTGTCAGGTTGAAGGAGGGTTAAACAAAGTCATGGGTACAGAATACTTAGCATGGTCCTAGGTGCCCAAAGCACTCAGTGCATCTTAGTTGGTGGTGGGTGTTATTCTCTACCTTTCCCTGTCCCAGGCATTCCTTTGCATCTCCTAAACCAGACACACCCACCCCAACTCCCAAGGTATTTGGCCTGGGGACGAAGGCCAACCTGTCCCCGAGCACAGCACAGTCAGACCTGCAGCCCATTCTCAACACATGCCTGGAATGCTTGCCTTATTGGTTTGAGAAACGCTGAGTTTGTTTTTGGAGTGTGTTGTCATTCTGTACATGATAATAGCTATAATAGCTAGCATTTGTGTAACCCTTTATCCTTACAAAGCATCTTCACCTACATAGTTTATTTGACCCTCAAAACAACACTTTGAGATGGATATTTCATTCCCATCTTGTCTCCGGGGAAAATGAGTCTCTTGACTTCCTGGGTCTCATGATGTGCCGATTCCAGATCTCAGGCTGAGCTTTTCACCAAGGGGAGGCCCACCTTGGAAAGATGTGATTTAATCTATTTCTCTGGAAGATTCCCAATCTCCCATTTCTTAAAGATTATCCTTAGCATAGAATTCTGGGATATAGAATTTTCTTTCACCACTCACTTTTTCTGAAGCAAGAGTTTTTTTTCATTCATAGCCCAGGGGGAGTTTCAGAGAGTAACTTTTCCTTTCAGCTAGTAACTCCCAATAATGGGAGGTCACAGGGTTCATGTTTCCCTACCAGAAGTCCAGAGGATAGTAGAGGTCAAGTCACTGCCTCTAGTTGCAATTATCTTGTCTAGACAAGATAAACATCCACACACAGGTAAGCGTTTGTAAGGTTATGTTTTACAAAGTAAGAAACAAATGTAAAAATGTACTCATTCAGCAGGTGAATGGAGACAGCAGCCCTCTTGCCATCTGGAATTTAATTGTTCCCCCCTCACCTTTTTTCTTTTTTGAGACACAGTCTTGGTCTGTCATGGAGTGCAGTGTTAAGATCTTGGCTCACTACAACCTCCACCTCCTGGGTTCAAGTGATTCCTGTGCTTCAGCCTCCCGAGTAGCTGGGATTACAGGTGTGAGCCAGCATGCCAGGCTAATTTTTTTGTGTTTTTAGTAGAGATGAGGTTTCACTATGTTGACCAGGGTGGTCTTGAACTCCTGGCCTCAAGTGATCTGCCTGCCTCAGCCTTCCAAAGTGCTAGGGTTATAGACGTGAGCCACTGTGCCTGGCAACCCCCTTCTTCTTCTTCTTCTTTTTTTTTTTACATCAAGACTATAAAAATCATGATTTTTAAAATAATTCATTGTCCCTCATTTAAAGACCTAGTTGAGAATCCTCCCAGTCCTCCTAAGCAAATTTTGTATATATATATATATTTTTGCTTGTTCTTTTTAGCATCCAGTCGTGCCTGGTTGAATTTTTGAAATTTCTCTTAGATTTTTACATCTTCTGATCCCATTCTCTCATATAATTCCAAATTGTGGTGCTGGAGCAATCTTTGTCCAAATCCTGTGTGGTCCCTGGATGAAGTTAAAGGGTATCTTGGTTACCTTCCTCTCCTGAAAGCCCTGTTCTAAGGCACACTGGAAGTTTGCCTGTCTCTCTGCACAGAGGCAGTCTGACTCCTGCTCAGTTTGATTCATTCCTGACTTTACCACATGAATTCGAAATGGGCTAAAAAGGTTTGCATGATGATTGATAAGATTTCTTCCTTTTTTCTTGTTCCAGGTTCCTATGCGGGGGCAGTGGTTGCCATGCCCCTGGCTGGGGTGTTGGTGCAGTACATTGGATGGTCCTCTGTCTTCTATATTTATGGTGAGTGATTTGACTCCACAAGTTCACATGTGACTCATAGAGTTGGTATTTTACTGTATATGGGTTTGGCTAAGAGTTTATTACATCAAAATAGCAATTACTAAAACAAGTTTATTGTATAAATGGAATACTTTATCTGTGATTTGATTAATGTTTATATCAAAGTTGACTTAAAAAAAATAAGCAGAACATTGTCTTTCTTTAAATGCCAGTTAACAACAAGAGGAACATCAACAAAGTACTTTCCCCTACCTGAACACACTGCCATTTGAAAATATTGTAAAGATCCCTTTGTAGTTCAAAAGTGTGATAATTGAGTGTTCACATGCACATGTGAGATGTTTGAGTCCTTCAAACCTTGTTATGACACTGGCATGTTATCTATCTGACATGAAAAAATAATATGGTAAAAATTGAAAAATTTAGAAATGAAAGAAAATGAGATCATATAATCAAGCCTTTTCTTTTTTAACTGCAGGTATGTTTGGGATTATTTGGTACATGTTTTGGCTGTTGCAGGCCTATGAGTGCCCAGCAGCTCATCCAACAATATCTAATGAGGAAAAGACCTATATAGAGACAAGCATAGGAGAGGGGGCCAACGTGGTTAGTCTAAGTGTAAGTATAAAAAGACAGATGAAGACTTGCTTCTTTTGATGAGTGATTGTGTTGTCTTCTTACAGAAAAAATGTCAACATCTTTACTAAAAATCTCATGGTATTTTTACTCCCTAGAAATTTAGTACCCCATGGAAAAGATTTTTCACATCGTTGCCGGTTTATGCAATCATTGTGGCAAATTTTTGCAGAAGCTGGACCTTTTATTTGCTCCTTATAAGTCAGCCTGCTTATTTTGAAGAGGTCTTTGGATTTGCAATAAGTAAGGTAAACACACAGATGCTTCAAATATTCTTGAACTTTAAATCTGTTGATTCTACAGAGAATAACTTTGCATGATAAAATAATTACATTTCTAATAGTAATTCATAACAGTTCTGTGACACCTAATAGTCTGGCTGTCCGGCAAGTTATACATTCTATGCATAGTATGCATAGCTATTTAATTTCTTCTTAGCAAGGATCAGAGCTGTATTAAACTGCTTTAAAGATTTATGGCTTACCCAATTTCAAAGTGGTTTTGAAGCTAGCTCAAGGACGGCATATTAGGCAAGGATAAAAAGATTTGAGGGTATGGGTTTTCTTTTTGTCCTGTAAGCTACTTGGTGAGTAGCAGTGAGAGCCTTACCACTCATTTTGCAGACCACCCCCTCTCCATAATGGTGGCTATAGCAGTAACAATCATTGTTTGCAATGGTTTAGGAAGAACCTCTTTCATCCAGGTGTGGTGGCTCACGCCTGTAATTCCAGCAATTTGGGAGGCTGAGGCATGTGGATCACGTGAGGTCTGGAGTTTGAGACCAGCCTGACAAATATGGCGAAACCCTGGCTCTACTGAAAATACAGAAATTCGCCAGGCATGGTGACGTGTACCTGTAATCCTAGGTACTCGGGAGGCTGAGACAGGAGTATCACTTGATCCCAGGAGGCAAAGGTTGCAGTGAGACAGATTGCATCATTGCACTCCAGCCTGGGCGACAGAGCAAGACTTTGCCCCACTCCAAAAAAAACAAAAAAAAGAAAGAACCTCTTTCAGTGCTCCCGGACATTATCATCAGGCCAATTGCATTTTAGGGAGGAAAGGTGTGGATAGTGAATCATAAACCATCATCATAAGATAATTAAACATCTTTTCCACAAGGGAAAGAACAGTAGCCAAGCAGACACAAATGTCTGCCTAGCTACAGAACTGTCAGAAGTGACCATGGAAGAGCTGGCATAGTAATGGTGGCTGCCATCAGTCATCAGTGCTCACTGGATGCCAAGTGCTTTATCTCCCATATGCCATGCCCTCTGTGATGAATAAAAGTCATCTCTGCCCTCAAGGAGCTTCCAATCTGGTGGAGGCCTAAATTCATTCACTCATTTGTCATTTATTTATTATGAAATTCAGGCCTACCCAGATCCCATATAATTAGATGCTTAAATTTGGTGGTGGTAGGTAGGGGGGCTGTGAAGTGGAGCTGGGTAAGGGAATTAGGGAGGCCCTTCTCTCAGAAGTAATGACAAATTGCTGATTGTTTCTTTCCCTTCCAGGTGGGCCTCTTATCAGCAGTCCCACACATGGTTATGACAATCGTTGTACCTATTGGAGGACAATTGGCTGACTATTTAAGAAGCAGACAAATTTTGACCACGACTGCTGTCAGAAAAATCATGAACTGTGGAGGTACTATGGATTTCATAAATGGCTTAGGCAGCTTTTGTAGAATTAGAGTAAACAGAAATGCAGAGCATATATTAGAGGTAATATTTAGTCATTGGAATGGATCTTAAAGACCCCTAAGTCTGTCCCTCAGCAGATACTTGAGTGTTACCCAACACATTGCTGCCAAGTGGTCAGCAAGCTGGGACCCTTCCATACATCCCTCCATGTGTATTGTTTGCTTATGTAGTTTATTCCCTTCTCTCCTTCTTACCTTTCTACCTATCCATATGTTTTGGTAAGAAGCAGAAGAAAACTAGTCTCTCCTCCTAGCCTATGCTTGTGCATAGGGTATATACGCACACACACACACACACACACACACACACACATACACATACACCTTTCTCTTTCCTGATTTATTTAGCTCGTGCTGTATTTTTTAATTTTGTAAAGACAAAGTGGATGTTAGGTGATTTCCCAAAAGAGGTAGGTGAAAGTAATTGTCAGTCCCTGCAATGTTCACGAGTGCTTTTTAAAAAAACATATTTTTGTTTTTCTTTTAAAATTAACATTTATTGAATACTTTCTGTGCTAGACACTAAGCTAAATATTTTACATACATTATCTTATTTAATCTTCATAACCACCATGTGGAGCAGGTACTGTTACTATATGCAATTTGCAATGAGGAAACAGAGGTAAAATAAAGGGATGTGCTCAAGTGGCAGATCCCTGCAAGGTATCAGGTCAGCCGGAGCCCACTGTCAAAGCCCTTAGTTTGCTGCTACCCCTCCAGAGGACTATCGTCAGGATGAGCGGCAGGAGGTAGAGGATAGCGCCACCTATGGGCAAGAGCTCACAATTCTCATATTAAATTGAAAGGGACGGATTGCGCATGCTCTGACAGATTAGCTAGGCCTGGCAAATTTAGAAGTGAGGACTATAAGCAGGGACACAGGAGCAGGCATAATCTGATTCCACAGCATTTCGGGAAGAGAGCCTAAGAGTCTGTTGGCATCTGTTCTCCCAGCTGCTTGACTGCTGGTCCTGGGCAGGGATGTGTGGGCCTGACCTTAGCTTGAACTTTCCTGTAGGGGACTGAGGGTTAGCAGATGTAGGCCTGCTGTCTGGTGGGCAGGAGGTGAAGCTCTGGGATATTGCATTCAAGTCCTCTCCAAGGGAGCTGTAGCAGGCAGAATAACATCCAAATCCCAATCCTTGGAAGCTGGGAATACTTTTCCTCACATGCCAAAAGGGACTTTGCAGGTGGGATTAAATTGAGGTTCTTGAGTTGGGCATTTATTCTGCATTATCTGGGTGGGCCTGATATAATCACAATAATCCTTATAAGAGGAGGAAGGAGGGTTAGAGTCAGAGAAGAAGATGTGATGGTTGAGGCAGGAGTCAGAGGGATGCAGCCACAAGCCAAGGAATGTAAGCAGACCCTAGAAGCTGGAGAAGACAAGAAGAGATTCTGCCATAGCGCCTCTAGAAGGAATGCAATTCTGTAGGCTGCCACCTTGACTTTAGCCCTGTACCATTTTGGATTCTTGGCCTCCAGAACTGTATGGTAGTGCAGAGCATATTTTAGAGGTAACATCTAATCATTGTAATAGATCTTAAAGACCTGTAAGTCTATCCCTTAGCAGACACTCAATATTGGTGTTATTTTGAGCCACTAAGCTTGTAGTAATTTATTACAGCAGCAAATGAAAACTAATACGGTAGTAGGCCTGGTGCAATGGCCCATGACTGCCATCCTGGCACTTCAGGAAGCCAAGGTGGGCAGATCACTTGAGCTCAGGGGTTCGAGATCAGCCAGGGCAACATAGTGAGAACTCATCTCTATTCAAAAATAAAAAATTAAAAAAATGAAAACTAATACAGTAGCCAAAGCCTCACCCTGTTAATGATAAAATTCTGTTCCAGCTGAACAGCCCTCACCCAAGCCCTAAACATACCTTTGTCTCTGACTTTGCCTATTCCCTTTCTCTTTCCCTGTGAGTTCACACCTTCACCTCTCACCCCAGTCCTCTCTACTCATCAAGCTCAATTCTTCTCCTCTTGTGTTTCCTTAAAGCCATGCCATTCTCCAGTGATCCCTCTGAATATGTCCACATGGCTAGATTGGCAATGCATCATGTGCTGTCTTGTTACAGCTCTCTTAGGAAAAGATTTTAGGCAGAGGAACTAGCATGTGCAATGACCCTGGGGCAGACAGGAATGTGGCATGTGTGAGAATAGAAGGAAGGGGAGTCAGAATGGTTGAGTTACAGAAGATGGGATCAGGATGTTTGTCTGGGGTCAGATCTTGGTCGGCCTTGTCTGCACATGCAGAGCTTGGGTTTTATTTGAAGTACACTGAGATGCAGATGATATAAAACATGGAGCAGATATGATCTGATTTTTTTTTTTTTTTTTTGAGACAATCTTGCTCTGTTACCTAGACTGGAGTGCAGTGGTGTGATCTCAGCTCCCAGCAACCTCCGCCTCTTGGGTTCAAGTGATTCTCCGGCCTCAGCCTCCTGAGTAGCTGGGATTATAGGCGTGGGCCACCACACCTGGCTAATCTTTTGTATTTTTGTAGAGATGGGGTTTCACCATGTTGGCCAGGTTGGTCTCGAACTCCTGACCTCAAGTAATCTGCCTGCCTCAGCCTCCCAAATTGCTGGGATTACAGGCGTGAGTAACTGCACCCAGTCTGATTTACTTGTTTTTACTCTGGGGAATCGTGCAGGGTACAAGAGTAAAAGAAGGGAGACCAGGTAGGAGGCGATTTCAATTGTCCTGCCTAGAGAAGATGGCGGCCTGGACAAATGTGATGGCAATGGAGATGGAGAGAGGGGGGTCAAATTCTAAATTCTTGGGGCCAACATTTCCCATCTTTAAAATCTACATGATAGTATTTACTTCAGAGGATAGTTATGAGAGTTAAATGAAACGATGTATAAATGCACCTAGTGCAGTGTTCAACCTATAAAAAGTTCTCAACAAATGTTAATGCTGTTCGTCTTCTCCAGTGTTCAAGATACAAAAACACAGACGTATTTCAAAGAGTTTTTTTTAGCAAGTGTCTGCTATTTAATTGTATTTCCCTTGGCCAAAAACATGTACTTCTAAACCAGCAACTTTAAAGAAGGCTCTGGATTTAAACAGTATTTGCACAATCTCTTCTAACCCCAGATGCATTAGAGATTCTTGAGCATATTTTGTGGGAATGTCTTGTTCCTATTTAATTCTGCCCTAATACCTCTGCTGTTTCTCCTTAATTGGTGGTAATGATGTTGTGTTGTGTTCTGGTGATGAGAATTCTCAAGGGTGTTTAATTGCTAACAAAGTGCCTGTTGAGAGGAATAGATTTTTTTCTGCAGAAACTAGAAGACATATGTGGAATCTTTCTGCTTCATCTCCCATCTTTAAAAAACTGCCTCTTCACATGGCTTTTCATGTTATTTTATATTTCGTTATAGTAGGACCAGTGAGTTATAGATAGAAAACAAAATGTTAAAAAAGACCAAAATGGTCCCACTTTTTCTGCTTAAATACAGAAATGCTAGACCAGAGATAACTACATGAAAACAAAGTTTTGTGCCATCACTGAAGAATGCAGGTTGATTTGGAAATGATGAAGATCTGGTATGATCTTCCAGAGAATTTTGGTTGGTGATTTGGTTTCCTAATAAGAAATATAGAAGGCATTTCTCATCTGAGAAGGATAACACATATCTTGGAGCCTGATATCTTTTCTTTCCGTTGATTTTTATGTGCCATTAAAATCATGTAAAGCAAAAAAAGATCACCTTAAGACATGATGTTCAATTCTAGTTCATTCTGAATCAGGGCCCACATCCATGATACTTAAAGACAGTTGCCAAATTCTTGTACTGCCCCCTCTATACAATGTGTAAAGTGTGACTGAAGTCAAAAATTCTATTCTGGCTGAATCAGTTGCATATGTGAACTTCAGACAGTTTTAATAGGAAATAAAATATTTCTTAGGCCTTTAAGTCCTAGTTTTGTTTCTCTTGGCAACTCTAAATAGGTTCAGTTTTAAAGATCTCCTGATTACCCCTAAAGCACAAATTTTATCTTTGAGCTCCTGAAACATACGGTCCTGTCTCTAGTATTTTAACTGTCAATAAAAACCATTTAGGCTCTTAAATACTCTTTTCCATTTGGAATCTGCTAACTCTTTGGCCAAACTCTTTTTTTTCTTACAGATGAACCGATGTATCACTTCTAAGTTTTATTCTTTACACAATGTCATCATTCTAATTCTTTGGACGAATTAACCTTCTGCACTCTCAACACTTCTGCTGAGAGTGTTAAAAGAAGTTTCAGCCTTGTTATTTAGAATAAGCCACTTCTAAAACACATATAGTTAGAATATGAAACACTAGCAATTTTTCCCTATGTGTAATCTTATATGTTGTAATAAAATTAAGAACAAATAGCAATGGTATAAAGCCGATAGTTTTAAAAGTACGACTTCCCTAATTATATTTCATCATATTATTTAGAAGTCATTTAAAACAATTATTAGTTCTTGCTCTTCTTTGTAGTACTGTTGAAGAAATAGGTTCAAAAAGGTAAGTAATAATAAGTAAACTATCATTTATGATAAGTACTTTAGCTTGTAAACCTTATTGTCTTGATTTTGGGTCCCATTCCTTTCCTTTGCATTAATTCATTAAATGTTATTTATTTATTTAAAGACAGAGTCTCGCTCCGTTGCCCAGGCTGGAGTGCAGTGGTGCAATCTCAGCTCACTGCAACCTCTGCCTCCTGGGTTCACGTGATTCTCCCGCCTCAGCCTTCCAAGTAGCTAGGATTATAGGCACATGCCACCATGCCTGGCAAATTTTTGTAGTTTTAATAGAGAAGCGGTTTTGCCATGTTGCCCAGGTTGGTCTCAAACTCCTGACCTCAGGTAATCTGCCTGCCTTGGCCTCCCAAAGCACTGGGATTTCAGGTGTGCACCACCACATCTGGCTAAACATTATTTATTGACTGCATACTACGTGCTAGCCAGACTCTGTGTTAAATACACAGTTTTGTGGGAGAGGCAGAAATAGAAATGAAAAATTACAAAGCAATATTGAAAAGTTCTATAAAATAATGAGGTGATGACAGCTTCATCAGTGGAGGGTAGGGAGAGGGTTATTATGGAGGTTTTCTAGAGGAGACACTTTAATCTGCGCTTTAAAAATAGTAAGATTTATCCAGAAACAGAGAAGGTAGTGAGAGAAGAGTTCCCAGGTAAAGAAACAATGTATGGGCACGAGACAGTGTTGTGTGGTTAGAAAACAGCTAATAGTGCAGTAACTGTACAGCATAGAGGGCTGCCTATGGAATGGGGGCAGTAAGCAAAGAGATGAGCGCTGGAAGAAGATGAAACTGGAACAGCAGGAGGGATTTATTAGAGAACATTATACTCGTGATGTGGCGCCCATGACAAACACGTTAAGCACAGGAGCGACTAATGAAGTGTGTGGCTTAGAGAGACCGTGGTATTGAGAATGCGTCAGAGGAGGATGAGTTGGAATGACTACCAAAGTGGCTTGTTGTGGCTGGGCATGGTGGCTCAGGCCTGTAATCCTAGCTTTTTGTGAGGCCAAGGTGGGCAGATCACCTGAGGTCCGGAGTTCGAGACCAGCCTGGCCAACACGGCAAAACCCGATCTCTATTAAAAATACAGAAATTAGCCAGGTGTGGTGGTGGGTGCTTGTAATCCCAGCTACTTGAACCCAGGAGGCAGAAGTTGCAATGAGCTGAGATTGCACCACTGCACTCCAGTCTGGGTGACAGAGCGAGACTTCATCCCAAAAAAATAGAAGAAAAATAAGGGGCTTATTGTAGTTGTCCTGGTAAGAGGTCACAGGGCCCAGGACTAAAGCAGTGACAGAGGAGGGGAAAGGGGTAGTTGGACAGGACAGATATTTCCGAGGCCAAACCTGCAGATTTGCATGTGAAAGCTGAGGCAGGAGGAGAAGTCCAAGGCAGTTCGGAAGCTTCTGCGTTGGACTTCTGGCTGCCATTTGTTGAGCTGTGCCCATGTGCCACACTCAGTACCTCATATACCAATTTCATTTACTCTTCCAGCGCCCTACAAGGCTATGGTTTCATCTCCATCTTTTGGATGAGGAATCTAAGAGGTGTAGTAACTTGTTCAAGGCCACACTATTACTGAGCTTGAAGTGGAAAGTGAATCCATACCAGTTTGACTCTAAAGATTCGGTTCTAAACACAGATGATAGAAGAGTAGAGAAGAAGAGGAAAGAACGTGGTGCTGGTGGTTTGCCTTGTTCGTTTAGGAGTGAAAAATAGGGAAAGAGGCCTGGGGCGGTGGCTCACGTCTATAATCCCAGCACTTTGGGAGGCTGAAGTGGGTGGATCACATGAGGTCAGGAGTTTGAAATCAGCCTGGCCAACATGGCAAAACCCCAACTCTACTAAAAATACAAAATTAGCCGGTGTGGTGGCACATGCCTGTAATCCCAGCTACTTGGGAGGCTGAGGCAGGAGAATCACTTGAACCTGGGTGGTGGAAGTTGCAGTGAGCTGAGATCGCGCCATTGCACTCCAGCCTGGGCGATGAGAACAAGACTCCATCTCAAAATAAAAATAGGGGAAGAGAGAATTGATTTGGGCATGTTGCCTTTGAGGTACTGTAGGACAATTGTGTGGAGATGTTGGAAATCAGCAGATAGTCTCCAAATGAAGCACCACTAATTGTCTCTCCCCCTCCTAGGGCACTCTGTATACTTGGAAATGATATTTATATCATTTTTCTGTCTGTTCTTGGCTGAACTTTTTTTTTTCTGGTGAGAAGGAACTTCTTCATAATTTCCTCATCCTTTTTGTTTTTTTATTGTGCTAGATTTACTTACTCTGAATGAAAGGAACAGAAAGTACTTTTGTTCTGCAATATTTTCTGTGCAAAAATCTCATGTATTGTTTGTTGTTTTTTAAGAGGCATGAGAGCTTGACGAACTTCTGAAGTAGAAAAATTTTGACTTATGCTTTACAAGTGGTGAAGTGCTATGTTTTGTTTCAGATATTTGCTACAGTTTTCTGGTTGCTTTTGGCAATAAATATTAGAGTGTTGTCATTTTACTTTTATGGGAAAGGCCATAACTTAACTCGTCAAAGGGGGATCATTAACACAGTTATATAGTAGAGTTTTAGTATTTAACAATGGCAGGGGCAGCTACACATGACACAACTAATAATTAACATCCCTCATCCCAGGAGCATCATTGGAACCTATTGTGCCCGTGTGGTGTTAAAGGTGCATGAGGATAATGTTAGAAGGTTCATGAACACCCAGGGAATATTACTATAGTCATATAGTCATGAAAGACCTGGGTAGCATTATAAGCACTGTACCGGAATATAGGTCTGTGGAGGAACAGAAAACCAAACACTGCATGTCCTCACTCTTAAGTGGGAGATGAACAATGAGAACACATGGACACAGGGAGGGGAACATCCCACACCAGAGTCTGTTGAAGGGGAAGAAAAGGGAGAGCATTAGGACAAATACCTAAGGCATGCGATACTTAAAACCTAGATGATGGGTTGATAGATGCAGCAAACCATCATGGCACATATATACCTATGTAACCTGCATATTCTGCACATGTATCCTAGAACTTAAAGTAAAATAAAACAAACAAAACAAACTTAGGTCTATAGAAATATAGATTAGTTCTTATTTGATAAATAAATGAACTTCAGTTGACTGATATGAAAATGACATTTTTCCCCCCTTGCTGTTTCCATTTGCAGGTTTTGGCATGGAGGCAACCTTACTCCTGGTGGTTGGCTTTTCCCATACCAAAGGGGTGGCTATCTCCTTTCTGGTGCTTGCTGTAGGATTTAGTGGCTTTGCTATTTCAGGTAACGTGTCCTTTGGGTTTCCAGATCTTGACTACAGATTCAACAAGTCCCAGCAAGAAGGAAGGACGAGGATATTGTAGCATCTGCTTTCAGTAGCCAGTCCATTCTCAGAGAGCAGGACCATCACCCAGAAAATGTCATCTAGAGAAAGTGATTTTGTAAGATCTCTGAGAACTGGGCTTAGGAGCCTAGTTAAGGTGGTTTTACTACTTACTTCATTATGGAAAAAGGCACAAAGTGCAGGTGACCCTTCTGAGACATGAGCAGAGGCTCAAGCATATGTCCCAGGTGAAGTGGACTTTCGCACTCAGCACCATGACACCCTACCTAACAGAGGCTCCTGTGACTTTTTCAAGCCTCACCTTTCGCTAGAGAACTGCTAGTGTCATTACAGTCATAAAATCAGAAGTTTTTCTGAGAGTGAAAACCTTCTTTAGATTTTTGTCTACGGCATTGCTTTCATTTTTCAAACAAGAAAATACAGGTCCAGAGAGGGGGAAGTGAATTTCTGAATAGGGTAAAGCTGGTAAGAATAATGACAATGATGACATGAGCTAGGATGAACAAGCACAGATTCTGTGCTGCAGACCGTTCCAAGCCATCTGTGTATATTAAGCCCTGTCTTTCTCACAACTACCCTAGTGGGTATCAGTGCTGTTACGATCCCCATCTTACAAAAGCAGAAACCAGTCTACTGCATGTCTGAGAGAGGCCAGGGTGCAATCATATCAGAAGCTTCTTATGCAAAACTGGGTGAAAGAGTGAAATTTGGTAGTTTGTCTGTCTTCAAAGCATTGTAAAACATTGCCCGGTTATTGGCTGGGTGCAGTGGCTTACACATATAATCCCAGCACTTTGGGAGACGGAGGCGAATGGATCACTTGAACCCAGGAGTTTGAGACCAGCCTGGGCATCATGGCAAAACTGCATCTCTACAAAAAATACAAAAAGTTAGCCGAGTGTGATGGCACACACCTGTGGTTCCAGCTACTCAGTAGGTTGAGGTGAGAGGATGGCTTGAGCCTGGGAGGTGGAAGTTGCAGTGAGCTGAGCTTGTGCCACTGCAGTCCAGCTGGGATGACAGAGAAAGACCCTGTCTCAAGAAAAAAATAAGTAAATAAAATAAAAATTTAAAATTGGTTAAAAATGTTTTACATATGTTGCATATATCTCACAACATTGTGAAGCAAGTAGTAGTATATCACTACATTACTGATTTTTCACTATTTTACTAAAGTTCAGAAAAATTTGGTACTTTCCCAATGTCACATAGTTGGTGGCAAAGGAAGGATGAAAGAACGGTTCTGCCTGGCCCGAAGCCTGTGCTCCTTCCATTATTCCAGGCTGCCTTAAATATCAAATAGAGCGTTAGTGTCCCAGAATAGAAAAATATGGAACCTCTGGTCTAAACTGCCCTAAGGCAGGGGCTTGTATCTATCAAAATAAATAGAGCTGATGAACAGTTAAATTAGAAGAGAAAGTAAAAGTCCAAATTAAAAGTAACTTGCAGCTAAGGAGTTAGGTTTAGAGATGTGTAGACCTGGGTTGGAGGCCTTCTTTACTGCTTAACGATTTATAAAAAAATTTTTTTTTGCTAAATTATGAAAACCCTCAAGCTTCAGTTTTCTCATCTAGAGATTGGAGAGCTAAAACAGCAACTTCATGGGGTTGCTGGGAGATGAACTGAGATCATTCATGCGTCTCCTCATACTTCTTGTGGGCTGGGCATTATTCTTAGCACTGGGGATATTGTAGTGAACAAATGAAAGATTTCACTCCCATAAAGTTTGCATTCTACTGGAAATATTTATTCAAATAAAGGCCTTAGCTTTATTTATTTGAAGCTCTTACAGTGCCGGATGCATAACAAAATTAACAAGTATTCACCATTATTGTTCTATTAGTACACACTCCAGCTCAGTGCTTCTCAAAGTGTTATGTGAAATCACCCTAGGATATTTCAGAATGCAGATTCTGAAATTTGGTAGCTCTAGGGTGGAACCTGAGATTCTGCATTTCTAGCAAGCTCCCCAGCGCCACTGCTGCTGCTGAGTTCACACTTTGAGTAGCAAGGGCAGAGCAATCATGACTTGCTTCCAGTAGGATGCTGAGGAACACCTTCACTTGATAACTTTGTGATGCAAAAGAAATCCATATCCTGTTCCCAGAGATACTGAAATGTTCAGGTTCATAGTGCTTCCTTTCTCCCAATTGCCAATTAAGTCACAATCTGTAGGAGAAAAACCCAATACTCCAAATCACAGCAGCTGCCTTTTTTTTTTTTTTTTTTTTTAAACAGGGTCTCTTGCCTTGTGCAGTGGCTCATGCCTATAATCCCAGCACCTTTGGGAGGCTGAGGCAGGTGGATCACCTGAGATCAGGAGTTCGAGGCTATCCTGGCCAACATGGTGAAACCCGTGTCTGCTAAAAATACAAAAATTAGATGATTGTGGTGGTATGTGCCTGTAGTCCCAGTTACTGGGGAGGTTGAGGCATGAGAATAGCTGACCTGGCAGGCAGAGGTTGTAGCGAGCCAAGATTGTACCACTGCACTTCAGCCTGGGTGACAAAGAGAGACTTTGTCTCAGAAAAAAAATAGAGTCTTGCTCTGTCACTCAGGCTGGAGTGCAGTGGCATTATCACAGATCATTGCAGCCTTTACCTCCCATGCTCAACTGATCCTTCTGCCTCAGCCTCCTGAGTAGCTGGGCTACAGGCATGTGTCACCACGTCCAGCTATTTTAAAACAACTTTTGAGGCAGGGTCTCACAATGTTGCCCAGGCTGGTCTCAAACTCCTAACCTCAAGTGACTCTCCTGCCTCAGCTTCTCAAAGTATTGAGATTACAGGTGTGAGCCACCATGCCTGGCTTGCTTGCCACTTTTTAAACATGATTTCATTCAATCCCCATTGCAACCTTGATGAGAAGGGTATTGCTGTATTCACTTTGTTGGTGGGGAAACCAAAGTGTGGTTTAACTTGCCCAGTGAGTGGCTGGGAGTAGAATAAAGGTCTGTTGGTCCCAAGAATGACACTATGGGAGGGATTGTGGCCACAGGGGCAATAATTCCTCCAGATCTATGTCTGCCACTTTTAAAGGAATAAACATGGATGCCAGGGAAGACTGACTGGCACAATTTAGGAGCTGATTATAGACAAGACTGCTGAGATAGATGAGGTTAAAAATAGGAAAGGGATGAGTGATGCCTGTTTTGGGAAATGTCCTGGACAGAGAAGACAGATTCTCTCCGTTTGTGTGTAATTTTTTTCATCTACTATAACAATCTATCAATATCTCAGTATCTCAGTGATTCCCCCACCCCACCCAAATGCCAGGATTGTGCAGCTAAAAACCTAAATGGCTTTTCCCACATTACCTTTAGCTGAACACAGATGCCCAGGCTTTGTATCAGAGCATGATGCTCAACAATCTTATTAATTGCTTCTTATCTCTAGATTCTTTTCTAATAAAGTGTTTATTACATTCCAATCAACAGTAAGATTAATGAACTTGCAACTGTTTTATATTCTGATCATTTGGCACGTTGACCTGAAAGAGAAGGTATGTTTATTACCAAAAAGTTTTCTCAAAAATTCTCTCTGAAGGGAGGTATTTTTGTGCCAGATTAACAACCAACCAATGTGCCAGATTAGACCAACAAATGTTTTAAATCCTATTTTCAGGTTCTTTGCACAGAATAGAGAAGTAAAAAGCAAAGTAAAGAAAAACAAAAGGATGAATAAAACCTACAACCCCTTGCTATAATTTCAGTAGCTGAAGTTGGTAATTTATTTAACAATTATTTATTGAGTGACTACAATGTGCCAGACACTTTGCTAGTTCAGGGAAGATGCGAGGAAACAAGAAGGATGGGTAACCACCTGGAAAGAGCATGCATATTGGTTTTCACGTCTATACACCATGTAGTTAATATACATTATTTAACTTAATTCCTACAACAATTTTATAAGAATGGTTATCTCATTGTATAGATGACAAAACTGAGGTTCAGGAAGTTTAAATCCTTGGTCTAGGCTTGCATCTCAATTAAGCTGCCAGACTGAGGTCTGTCTGACTGGAACATGCACCCCTGGAATATGTTGACAAAGTTGGTTTACAGTGCCTTAAGCTTCCTCTTTTATAGACTTGCTTTCCATGCCTTCAGTCCTCCCCACTCACTGCACTCATTTCTCTCTCCTGATAAATGGATTAATTGTGAGTCGGTGACTTATAATTTTACCACTTTCAGCATTATTATTACTATTATTAGATGGAATCTTGCTCTGTCGCCCAGGCTGGAGTACAGTGGCACAGTCTCAGCTCACTGCAACCTCTGCCTCCTGGGTTTGAGCGATTCTTCTATCTCAGCCTCCCAAGTAGCTGGAATTACAGGCATGTGCCACCATGCCTGGCTAATTTTTGTATTTTTAGTAGAGACAGGGTTTTGCCACGTTGGCCAGGCTGGTCTCAAACTCCTGACCTCAGGTGATTCTCCCGCCTTGACCTCCCAAAGTGGTGGGATAATAGGTGTGAGCCACCATGCCTGGCCAGCAGCATTATCTTTTGATAGAAGACCTCAAAGAGAGGGAGTTACTTAGCAGTGGCAGCAGAAGGTAGTAGTAGGAGGAGGAGGAGTAGGAGTAGCAGTAGTAGCAGCAGTAGTGGTAGTTAGTATAGCTTTGATATTTGCCGAGGGCTTCACATACCTATTTCCCCTGAGTCTCTATCACAGCATCTTTATGAAGTGAGTAGTAATATTATCCTCATATTGGAGATGAAGAAACAAAGGCTCCCAGATTACTTGTTTACATAGCAGAAATAAGATTCAAGTCCAGATTTACAGACTGCAAATCAAGTAGATGTGTGAAAGTGTTTCATAAATGACAGAAGGTTCTGCCAATGTTTATGCAAATGTTTCATTGAAAAGTACCCTTTTCATTGTGTGAAAATGTGGTTATGTGGCCAATAAAGTTGGATTACTCTTGGCTGCCTTTTAAGAGTGAGTCAGGAGTAGGAGCAGGAATTTTATGAGGCAAGATTTGGGTCTAATCATACTGTATGTGATTGTGTAATTCTTTACTCTGCCTAAATGTGATTCAGGCTTTAAGCTTTTCAATATTGCACCAAACACCGTATTTTGGAATTCAGAACCTATAAGGTAGAGATGCCATAATTCTCCTTGTAGAGAGAGCCCACGGTAGATATCGATAATCAATTCCAGCATTATCTACTGGTGTTGCTTTGTGCAAACACAGCCTCATGAACCCAATTCTCTTGGTCTGGAAACTAATATCCATCAGTCATATGCTAGAGGAAACCAAACAGATTGGGGAAAGTTGGGGCAACTGAGTATTTTCCAAAGTGTATTTGGAATTCTGTTCTTGACTGATTTTGAGGTTTTGACTTCACTGTAGGTTTTAACGTCAACCACCTGGACATTGCCCCCCGCTATGCCAGCATTCTCATGGGGATCTCAAATGGAGTGGGAACCCTTTCTGGAATGGTCTGTCCCCTCATTGTCGGTGCAATGACCAGGCACAAGGTAAAGGTCTCCTTTGTGGCTGTGGGTTACAGTATCGGAGGACTAGAGCACTACACAAACTTTGGATTTCAAAGCTCTACTGCAGTGTGTAAATGTGTATGTCCTTGACCTTGACTGAGTCAGCTGAATTTCTTTTTTCTTTCTTTCTTCTTCTGATTTTCAAATCATTGTTTATCAGTGGCACCAAGGCTAATTGTTTTGTTCTATGTTTTCTCAGTTGAGGAGTAAAAGTCTGGAAAGAGGGGTATGGGCTATAGAAACTGTTTAGAGACACAAAGAAGAAACTGAGGCAGTCAACCTGGGATAAATGAGTTATTGAAGTTTGTTTTCTCATTCTCAGTGACTAAACTTTATATCCATCCATTGCTTAGCATGTTTCAGCATATAAAGATGAGTGCTGTTACACTTCCTAGTTAAGAATAAAATAAACGGGACATTAATAACCCACCCAAAGTTGTTACTGAGCCTTTGTGATTTTAGACTAGGTTGGGTGGTAGAGGATGATCATCCAGAGTTCACTCACAGCCCATGTGATTTCTTTATCTTTGTCATTGAAACGTCTCGAGATGCTGCTTTCTGCAAATAATAATTCTTTCATACCATGGAATATTTTCCCCCAACTATTTTCTTAGTTGGATTAGCTATTACAAATACACCTTCAAAAGTTTTTTGAGCTTCCTGCAGAAGAAAGTGTGAGATAAATTTTCCTACTTTTTGACAGAAAAGGAAGGTAGGATTTTATAGCCAGAGAATTCATGTTTTCCCTCTCTGTTCATGAAATGATGGGATTGATAAGATGACTATTAAATCCAAGATGTCTTTCCCGAGTCTTAGACACAAATTCTCAGTATTTTTGATTACTTTTTTTTTACACTGTAAATATGATTATAAATAAAATTCCTGTCAGTCAAGGGTGAGAACTTTAATGGCTCAAATATTGTTATGTATCCAACAACAAGCAAGGAGACTTCTGATATTTAAAATGGTGGGTTCCTAAAACAAGTTTAATTTAGCTGACTATGTGAAAGGAAACCCAATTTGCATATTCAAAAAGCTATGCAACGGTGCTACATGTACTAGTATTTTTATGTGTTGTTTATTTTAAAATGTATTTTCTAAATTAAAAAAATATATATTTGTTGTCATGTCTAACTTTCATATTCATTGTAGTCTTAACTTTCTTTCTTTTTTTTTTTTTTTTTTTTTTTTTTT